GACATTCACAGAACTGTGTTCTCCGAGAATGCCGGAGAACTGAGCAGCGATCTATTACTGCTGGTTCATAAACGGACACCTATATGTTTATTTATGTGTTCCCATTCACACAGCATGCCTAAATATGATTAAAACAAATATCTCTTACCTTTCTAGTAGTTTCATTGGATCAGGTTTATACACTGGATTCTATTAGCAGCTAGCAAGCTATTCTGAACAATTTCAGAGTACAATTAAAGTGGTAGTAAACTCTTTGGTGCCATTTTTACCTACAGGTAAGCTTATAATAAAGTTTACCTATATGAAAAATGAATATCTCCTAAACATGCACTGTCTAGGAGATATTTCAGCAGGCATCAGCCAGTGATGTCAGCGGCACATGCGTTGTGAAGGAACGACATACCCAGGCTGTTCCTTCAGAGCTCTATGCCATGCCCGGCGCTCCCGCACATATGCGTGGGAGTGACATCATCGCGGCTCAGCCAATCCAACAGCTGAAACCCACGAACCCAGGAGAAGTCTGGGTGACTATAGAATCCCTGTCAGTGGTGACAGGGTGCTGCTGGAGGGATCCATTCTAAAGGTAAGTCTGACATAATGTGCTAGCATGCAGTGCATACTATCACATTATGGCTTAAACCTGCAGCGGGGGACCTTTTTTTAAAAACTTTACTACCACCTTAAGGGACAGACTGAGGGACAGTAAAATGTACCACACAAGTCTTGACAGACATGCGTGCGTACCTTTTGTTTATGGATAATAATGAGATCACAGTACAGACAGCATACCTCCCAACCATTCTGCATTTCACAAGACCCAGGATTTCAGGGGGGCATTGGTGGAATGGGGGTTTGTGCTGTGGGGATTTATGCATGATGGGGAGGGGGGGTGTGCTGGCAGAGGACTTTGGTGGTGGAAGAGGATTCATGCTGGGAGGGCATTTGTGCTAGAAGGCATATTTGGGTGGGTGGTGTTGTGCTGGAAGAGGAGAAAGAACTTTTGCTATGAATTTGGAAGAAGGGTAAGATTTGTGCTGAGTGGGGATTTGGAGGGTAGAATTGGTGGGGAGGGAGGATTTTTGTTGGGTTAGGGAAGGGGGTTGTGCTGGGAGGGGAGATGTGGGAGGTGGAAGAAGGATTTGTGCTAGAGGAGAGTGGAGGTGCATTAGAAGGGGGTGAGATATTTTGTGCTGGCAGGAGGGGGTTTGTTCTGGGATGGGGGGAATGGGAGAAAGGGGTTTTGTGCCAGTGGAGGTGATTAAGGGACAAAGAGAATTTTTACTTAAAGAGGGATTTGGGCTGGGGGGGATGATTTGTGTTGGGAAGGGAAAAGGATTAGTGGTGGGTGGGAGAATGGGAAGATGATTTGTGCTGAAAGAAGGGGGTTTGTGGGGATGTAGTAGGATTAATTCTGTGGTGGAGATTAGAACTGAATTATTTTTGGAGGGGAGGGAGTGGAATTTTTGCTGACAGGGTAAAGTGGGGTAACGTGTCTATGCAGGGGGAATTTTGCACTCTCCTGACCTCTACACTGTATGCTACGCACCCATGACTCTTCCACTCTTCTTGTTTTTTACTTCTGACCCCTACTATGCATTACACACTCCTGGCACCTGGATTCTGTGTGTTACATACTCTTGAACCCTGCTCCCTGTGTGTCATGTACTCCTAAACCTGACAACGACTGCACCATCTGTGTGCTACATATTCCTGAACCTTGAACTCTTTGCATTATACTGCAAATTATACACCCCAAACACCTGCACTCTGCGTTATGTATAGATAAATCCAGGGCTTTTTTCAGAAGGAATGTGGGGGAATGCAGTTCCAGCACCTCCAGCACTAAACGTATTGAATGGCAAGGGGTGCTGGGGTGTGTTGGAGGGTCTATTGATGCTGGCTGCATGGGATCTATTTTTGCATGGGGGTCTATTGTTGCTGGTGGGAATCTATTGTTGCTGGGGGTCTTATGTTGCTGGGGGGTTCAAATGTTGCTGGGATGGATCTACTGTTGAGGAAGAGAGGTCTATTGATACTGGCTGCAGGGAGACCTGCTGTTGCTGCTAGAGTTTGCTGGGGTGGATCTATTGTGGCCAGGTGATATTTTGTTGTGGGGTCCATTGTTGCTAGGGGAGTCTATTGTTGTGGGGGATATATTGTTGCAGCGGGATCTATTGTTGCTCTGGGATGATGTCTATTGTTGTGGGCTTCAGGACAATCTATCTTACTGCTTTTCTTGTTATGATTCACAAATTACTTAGCACCACAAAATGATACTTGGTTCTAAATTCTCAAAACGGGGTGGCACTGGGAGGTGTGTAGGGAGTGGAACTAAGGGACAGTGCTCGGAGGTGGGTAGGAGATGGAACCAAGTGACAGTGCTTGGTGGTGGGTAGGGACAGAGACAATAGGAGACTCGGGAGAGGGGGGTTCCTGCACCTATTCTCTGAGAGAAAAAAAGCCCTGGCTGAATCCAGCAATGACTGCAGCACTCTGTGTGTATGTACTCATGACCCTTGCACTCTATGCATTGCACACCTCTCAACAGTTGCTGGTTTCTAAGCAATTCTTGACTATTTTAACCTGATCCTACTCGCTGTATACGTACATGGATGGGTGGGCTTTAACACTGAGGGACCACATGTATGCTCACAGCACAGTAAGATGTCATGGGCAGCTCCCAATACATACCGTATATGCGATTGGGACCTTCTGATCATGTGACCTCTATGACAGCCAACCACAGTGGTCACATAATATGAATGCCTGCCTCTGCCTCCCGGTATTTACATCCTCTCAAAGGTCCAAGGGGAGATGGCGGCAAAGGGTAATGAAGTTCTTCTTGTGTGTTAGCTCTCTGTCTACTTACAGTTTGGGGCTTTTTATTAACTATCTCCCTTAAACCCCTCCCACTGTTAGCAGTTTGGCCACACCCACTGATTGCCATAATTTTACTACTCCCCATGGGGTGCCCAAAGGTGCACCATTTATTTTACACCTCTGGCACTGAGAAAGACTGTCCCCTCCCAGCTTCTGTAATTGAACCACACCCACTTATTTCCATGGCAGGTCACTATCTCCCTGAAGTGTCCCTGGTTTTCATGTTGTAAAGTTAGGAGGTATGCAGACAGGGTTAATTCTGGTAAACATAACTCCCCTGCCCCCTCCTTAAAGCAGAACTCCACAGTCCAGTGGTGGACTGTTCCTATCTGTGGAGCATGCAGTGAGCATGCTGATGTCAGGTACAGCCCATTTTCAAGACCACTGGACCGCGCATGCACGCGCGGGGGGGGGGGGGATAGTGTGAGGAGCCAAAAGGATCGGTCTTGTGTGGTGAGGATTGGCGGGTCAGGTGAGTATATCTTCAGTGTCCTCTGCCCTGGAAATAAATGGGCATTTGACTTGTGCAGTACTGGCACGGGCAAAAAAAAAAATATTCCCAGATTTCTGCTTTAACATTACATTGAAGGGGAAAGCTATGAATGATTTATAACCATATAAAAAGCAGCAATGTTACAATATTTTTAAGTGAGGATAATGGTAACCTGTAACAAATTTTACGTTGATGTTATTCCAATTTGGCGGAAAATAGAAAACTCTCTTTAAAGTACACAGCAATACAACAAGAAGGACTCTTTCACTGTGAAAGTTTCACATCATATATTTTACTATGCTGTAAATTTTGATGCTAATTTCAAGCATTCATAAAATACAGTACTAACTGTACTTGCTAACATTGCAAAGGACTATGATAGAGCATTGATTTAATTTGCTAAAACAAATGTGACCAGCAGAAAATTCCAAAACGATATGCAGTGTTGTAACTTAGGGTCCAGGCTTCTGTTTGATGTTGTAAGATCAAGTGATTTGTGACTGGCTGCACTGAACCATATTTACCTGCATCATTTGGAATACATACACATGCTGCCTAATATATAGCAATGCAAATAAAAATAAAAACCATAAATCATTTTTTTTCAGCTTTTAGTAGGTCTGTTATTTTAACCTGATACGGTCTATGAAATATGGTTCAAATTGGTTTACTTCATTCATTTACTCTATCCTAAAAAGTGCCTATCTTTAGAGAAACATGGAGGTATCGTTGCTGAGCTCTCCTTCTGAAAATGCTGGCTGTCTAGCTGTCATGTTTATCTGCTTGCTTCAACATTTTAAATGTCTGATCTACAACAAATATGTAGAAAAATGGCTCTAACTTTTTTCAAATTTTCCAGATCTGCATAACTGATCAGGGTCCTCAAAAATATTACAACTAGTGGATCAAAAAAACAGCCAGGAACCCAGCTTTTTCTGCAGGCAGTCAGCAATGGTAGCTCATATATTAATCTCAAAACAGGTTGCTCATAGTCGAACCCCTAATACCAATAAACCTAAAATTCAAATGCCTTCACAATAAGATATTGTAAACAATCAAAAGTACATTTTTTGTGCACACTGTTCCGCTAAAGTCTTCTCAGGCAGTAAAACTAGTAAAAGCTGATTTGTGATTGGCTGCTAAGTGTTAATATGCTCCATTACTCTGCATCACTAGCATGCATCTATTTCATATATGTAAGGGGAATCTGTCACCTGCCAGTCTTCCTGGCTCAGTCTGGGACAGGGGCGGACTGACAACTCATGGGGCCCCCGGGCAATAGGGGATCATGGGGCCCCTGTGTCCTTGCCCAAACTTAAAAAAAACTATAAAAAGGTACCAGGGGCATCTCATGGGGACCCCTACTGACCCTGGGCCCTCGGGCAGTGCCCAAGTTTCCAAATGGTCAGTCTGCCCCTGGTCTGGGATATTTTTCTCCTGAGAAAGTGGCCATTATCCAATACCTGGTCAGATTTACTGAACCTGGCATACCCTGCATTCAAATAAGAATGCATTCCAATGAAAATGTGGCTTACAAGGAAAATGTGGCTTACAGCATTAACATAATCGGTAGACTGGCTAGTGACAGAATCCTTTTTAGCTGAAGAAGTAAAGTCATTTACTATACCTGATTGCAGGTGTTGATGTCTACTCCTCCTTTTAGGTATTCCAGTACCTTATCAACATTGCCCGATCGAGCAGCTTTCAAGAAGCTGGTATTGCTGTCCGACTGTAAGAAAAAAGATACATACACACTCAATCAAGGAGTTCAATGCAATTTCAACTACATCTACACACAATTATCTGGTTTTAGGTGTTTTCCCAAATTTAGTTTTTTTTTTGTGCCACATCTTGCTTTTTTCTTTCATCCATTATCCACCAGCTTGATGATGATTATAGTGGACCTTCACTTAAAATTACAACACACAATTATTCTATGCTGCCTACACAACCTGTTACACATTTGCAAGCCCATCAGATATGAGATATGCGATATGCATATTTACAATGTTCCAAGCTGGATCCAATTAAGTTTGATCCAAGGTAGATCAAACTTAACTGGAAGCACATCAATGAATATTTGACAGTTGCTTTAACATTTACCCCCAGTTCACATATATGCAGCCGTGCGGGCCATGGTTTGAACGGGCACGAGAGCCAATTCATTTGAATGGACTCCCCTGCCCGTAACACGCAGGGAAGAAGTCCCTGCACTTCTTTGGAAAATGCAGCCCGTACGAGAACCTCGGTTCCCAGTACAGTTGCGTTTTCCGCCTGTGGGTCCGCATTTCTCAGGTGGTGCGGCTGCATGGATTTTCCTGCGGATCTGCAGCTGCACTACCCGCACAGATGTGAACCTAGGGTTATAAATAAAATAAGAATTGCAGGACCCTATCTATAAAACTCACATGAAATCAGAGGATATCACAAATTTTACTTCACTTTGACCATCATTTTTGGGTTTACTTATAAATATAAAAGAAAATGTCATCAAAGTGAATGTTCAGCAAAGTTCAGTGGAAAAAAAAATTTTTTTTTAACTTTGTTTATGCTTTTTCAGACATTGGTAGATTTTAAAACCAGTCTTGCACCTTGTTTTCAAATTAAAGTTGTTAGTCCGGACTAGAACTAAACTAGCTTAAAGCTGCTCCCATCCCCCTTCTAACTCCTAAACTAACTACTTTGTAGAAGGAAGATTATTATTATATTATTATTATTATACAAGATGTATATAGTGCCAACAGTTTGCTCAGCGCTTTACAATATAAAGGAAGACAATACAGCAACAATACAGTTCAATACAAGAGGGTTAGGAGGGCCCTGCTCTTTGGAGCTTACAATCTAAGAGTATGCTTATACTCACCTTTTCTCAGGGAGCTCTTTTCCAGTCACATGATCAGCTACCAGTGACCAGCTTCAAGATGAGGGACAGCTAACAACAGATATCCTATAGTAGGCCTTCTCTCCCCTGAAGCTGGCTGCTGGGGGGGATCACATGAACGCTGTGAGAATAGGTACGTACATGCATGTTCCTTTTGCACAGTAGTTAGTATAATAATTAGAATGGGGGAGGGAGATGTTTTAGGCTTAGTTCTAGCACTGAATTCTACTTTCATTTCTATGGCGGAAATTCTTTATTTCTTTCTTTCTGTTTCAACAATTTTTATTGATTTTCCAATTAAGGTTTAACTACAGTATTGCCCACAGAGAGGCAGTGAATAAACATGACTTGACAGGACTCTTTGTGATGGATGAAGACTCAACCATCTAAGATTGTGAACCCTTCTTTGAATTTGACCCAGAAGAAAGGACAGATGAATGGAAGTTTAACTGAAGATGCCCCTTGACACCCTCTACAACAGTGCAATCTCCAGCAGTATGCCAAGTCCCTGCTGATCAATGTGGGGATTCAAAGAAAAAAGGAAGACTGACAAATCCTCTGATAATGAAGGCGCAAAGTTTCTATCTCCAGAACTGGACTGGATTGCTGCCAGCAGCATGAGGGCTCTGACTTGTGACAACACCCACCTGTTTGGGGATCTGCCTTCTTCTTCGACTGAATACCGATGACTTCCAAACAAAATACCAGAAATACTAAGTCTACAAAACTAAGTCAAACCCACCTGCTCAATGGTGTGACGCTACTAAAGACTTGTTGGTTTTTTTCTTAATCAAAGAATCAGCAAAAGAAGCTTCAAATTTGGAAATTACTCATTAGGAGGCCTAATGTGGTAAATGTTTGTTTAATCCTTTTTAAGTTTTTTTTCACCCAGACCTGACAAATATGGATACCCTTATTGTCAGATTTTACCCAAATTTTTTAAATCTTGCCTCAATAAAAGTGGAATATAGCTTGGGTGTAAAATAGTGTATATGAGGGTGTGTTTTGAACTGGATGGACTTTTTTTTTCAATCAGGTTATTTATGTAACTATTAAATATGTAACATAAAACGGCATAAAGGCATGGTTTACCCAGTAGAGAAAATTAACAGACGGTTGTTCAGGACCTATTTAGGGGATTACAGACCTCTCAAACATTGGGAAAACTTGGTCAAGTTGCTACAAAGAGTAAAAAAGGGGACAACTTAAGAGAGGAAGCAAGGGGGGGGAAGGACAGGAAAAGAAAGAAATGGGGGAGGGGGCAGGAGGAAAGGAAGATATATGAAAGTACAAAAAAAAGAGGAAAGGAGGAAATGGATGTGGAAAAAAGGGACAAGCCCCCACCCTACCCCAGGGACTCTTGACCAGGTGTGAAGTAAAGAACTATAAGTATCTAAAGCTAGAGGGATTCAGGGAAGAGAGGGAATAGTAAAGCCAGGGTCCCCAAGCCTTAAGGAATTAGGGCTGTGAGCCTTTGAGAATGCTTCTTCCAAGCCTTGACCATAGTTTGTTTAGGGCAGGAAAAAGAAGAGTCCACTGTCTGTTGGGGGACAGCAAATCTTGGATGAGTATGATGCAGAAATGTTCTCCAGTGGTCTCATGAAAAGTAGTGAGAAATAGTGTTTTTAAATTAGGCCAAATGTTCTAGACCAGAAGGGGATTTGTTTCGGACAGGACCGTCAGATGTGCGAGACATCACCTCATTGACCAAAACCACTAAAAAATCTGTCAATATAAGACAGAAAAGCTTTTCCTCCAATACAACCTAAATGATTATTATTATTATACAGTATTTATATAGCGCTAAAAGGTTTGCTCAGCGCTGTACATATAGTGGGGGACAGAACATGAGACAATACAGTGACAAAACAAAACACGAGGGATTCAAGGGCCCTGCTCTTTCGAGCTTACATGGAATCGTGTAAGCTGATTCCAGGGTGGCCTTATTGAAGGAACATTTTGCTATTCTAAATTTTGCCTCAATCCTAAATTTTGCTGCTGAACGATTCCCTTACCAGTTCAACATTAGCCATGCAAGAGATACTTGTCATTAATACAAAATGTTTTATTTAAGCCTTTGGTGTTTTCAACACTATTTTAGTTGTAGCTCATTATCTCTAGCTGCTAGTAATATAATAGTTCTGAAGGGTCTTGCTGGATTATAATAAAGGATTCTCTGTCCCCTTGTCACTCCTTATTGTGCTAGTTATCTGAATGGAAATACTGAGATATAATGGTGCATTTGTGTAATGATAGGTATCTTGTGGGGAGGGGGAGGGGGGTTGTGTCACTTTGAACTAATACCATTGCCATGTCCCATTGGGAGACTTTCCTTCACTCCCTGTCTTGAGACACAATAGGAAGGAAAGGGAGATCACAGGAACAGTCTGAAAGATTTCCCATCTATTTCTGTTCCAGTGACAATGTATATTTTGATCTTCTCTGACTTTCAACCCCCTAGTGACAATGGTAACCATGGCTAAAGAGGGTGACTCTCACTGGTAGAGACAGAACCATTAAAACCTAACAGGGGTTACCCCTCACCACTCTAAAATGAAAAAAGAATGCCACTTAGGAATTGCATTTCCAATATGTTTACATACTGACCAGTATATTTTACAATAACCATCAAAGCCTTCAAGAATCATACATTGGAAATATGCTAGAACATTAGCATTATTAACCACTTGAGCTCTGGAAGATTTTATCCCCTTCCTGACCAGGCCATTTTTTGCTATTCGGCACTGCGTTACTTTAACTGGCAATTGCGCAGTCACGCATGCCACACTGTACCCATATTAAATTTATATCATTTTTTTCACACAAATAAAGCTTTCTTTTGGTGGTCACAACTGTATTTTTTTATTTTTATTATATAAAGGAACAAAGACTGAAAATTGTGGAAAAAAAAAAACAAAACAATATTTTGTACTTTCTGCTATAAACTATAACCAATAAAAAAATTTTAAAAATCTGATTTCTTCATAAAATTAGGCCAAAATGTATTCTGCTACATGTGTTTGGTACAAAAAAAACCCCAATAAGAGTATATTAACTGGTTTGCGTGAAAGTTATAATATCTTCAAAACTAAGGGACACTGTGTATACTGCATTTTTTTTTCATACTAGTAAGTAATCAGTGACTTATAGTGGGAATCTGACACTGACACTTTGCAGGAACTGACTAGCTGCCACTGACATCTCCAGTGACACTAATACAGTGATCAGTGCTAATAATATATACAGTCACTGTACTAATGACACTGGCTGGGAGGGGGTTAACATTTCCGGGAAATCAAAGGATTAACTGTGTGCCTAATATTGCTTATTGTGTTAACTGTGTGGTGGTTTTACTAAGCAATGTGCTGGTTTTTACTCCCTGTAAACAAATAAAAAGGCAAATCACAACTGTCTGTAGCAGGGCTTTTTTTCTCAGAGGAAAGGTGGTGGAACTCCCCCACCCAAACCTGGCCACGCCCCCATCAAACCCTAGGACCACCCCTTTAGAGAACAGGAATGCAAGTAAAATTTGGGAGGGGCTTCCGATGACATCATTTCCCGTACATACCATATAAGGGAAATGATGTCATCGGACCCCCGGCTGCCTCTTGCATGATCTGCATGAAACACATGCATAGATATAAAATGACTAATGTACTGACACCAGAAACACATGCATAGATATAAAATGACTAATGTACTGACACCAGAAACACATGCATAGATATAAAATGAATACCGTACTGACACCAGAAAACACACGCATAGATATAAAATCAGTACCGTACTGACACCAGAAACACATGCATAGATATAAAATGACTAATGTACTGACACCAGAAACACATGCAT